TTTATGTGTAGCATTTACAAATGATTCCCACATTAGACTTTTACAGCCCAATAAACTTGAGAGAATCGGACCAAATTGGCTGGTCACATTTAGTAGCTTTATAAGGAAACGTATTAAGGTGTAATTGCTTTGGGGGGAGTGTGCAATTGAAGGAACGGGCTGTGGTGAGAGGTACAAAAATCGCCCTCGCACTCTGGAGGGACACTGCGGTTTTTGTCTACCGCTCAGGAGTTTGCAATCACAGTGAGGAAATATGGATTGTATTAGGAGATTTTATACAATAAGTTTTATTTCACATTTCCGGAAAAAAATGAAGGTTTACAGTGTGTTCAGAAATGTACCTGAAATAAAACCATCTGTTGGCATTTAACTTTACCAGCGAATGTGAACCTTTGATGACAATCGTTGAGGATAGGAGAGGATCCCCTGGTGTATTCAAGGGTGAAAAAATGAAACAAAGGGACCAAATATACTTAAAATGAAAGTTAGTTGTGACATAAAAAAGCAGGAGCATCGCAAAAACACGATTTCTCATCCATGTGAAAAAGACATGGAGCGAAAACCAAAGAGTTGATGGATGAATATGGATATCTCATCTCTCTGACTCTGCTCCTTCAATTCACAGCCTACCACATAAAGGATAATCTAGACTATTAGACTGATTAGGATTGATTGCATTTTCAGATACAGGAAAAGACGGGAAGTTGGTTTTTTTTTTTCCAAGGGGAAAAGCGAGAAAGAGTGAATCGGATCATCCCTACTTTGTCACATGGTCCCAAAAAGAATCTCTCTCTGTGCCTCTCTCTCTCTCTTTGTAGAAAGTTCATGCCACTGCATGTTTTTTCCTCTACTGAGCTTTTTCGGCAGTGTAGCATGGCATGAGCGCACTGAGGAGCCTTTCACTGGCTTCATCTGATACCGCTGTGACTCGGAGAAGGAGCTGCGCTACAGGCCAGGATCGACATGCATGGGTTAGTAGGTCAAACAAGGAGCTAGTCTTTCGACAGAGTTCGGAGGCTGGGTCAGACTAATGTGATTTATCAATACAGCACATAAGTGAATCATTGTCCTTAATGGCCATGATAATCCCCGAGACAGACCGTGGACATGATTGGTGGAAGACTTGGGGGTGGGTGAGGCTGGAGGGGGGGGGAGCATGTGTCATTCTGCACTTGATGTCTTGATTAGAGCATCAGCAACATGCACCTGTTATGTATCTGTAAATCTCCCTCCTCCTTCTCTCTTTCTCACACACACACACACACTCTGTCTCACACACACACACATTTTCACTCATCGAGGCTTGGCTGATCGGGCCTGGGAGAGAAAAGACAGAGCTCTGTTCCTTGACGCCGGAGCTCCGGCTCAGGTCAAGACTCGGCTCGCTGTAATCCCTCTCAGGTGATGCTGTTCACATTCAGCCGTTTCCAGCTGATCTGCTTAAATGCGCCTTCCTCATCCCCTAAAAAGCCCCCACCTCTCCTCAGCCAGCACCGACTCAGAGGACGACGAGAATGAGGGGGGGGGGGGGGGTTGCTGTTGTTTTTCAAAACTGTCAAATGTCAGGCTTTTCTACATTTCCTTCAAGTGACCAAACTGCTGTTTCATGTTTGTAAATAAAACAAAGTCAGGAAGCAAGGCTCACATCACCTGGATTAGAGTGGCATCATGTGAGAAGGCCTTGTTAACAGACGTGCCATCTGCAGGGCTTTTTCACTTTTTCCAAAGGCAAGAGTGTAAAAAAAAAAAAGCAGCCTCTTGGAGCGTTCCCTCTCCTCACTAGGCACTTAATCAACGTATTATATTGCACTGAAGTACTTGGTTCCAACATTAACACTTACACCCACAAACCTGGGATTTTGTGTGAGCTTTCAGCACACAGAGGGCCTGATTATCTCTGGCTTAGAAAAGAGAGGCAACTGTTTGAATGCTCATCTGCACACAAGATGCTCTGATTCTTAAAATTTATACCATCAAAAACTACTTTTGACTTTATAATATTTGCCAAAATCACATTATTTTCTGTTTAATTCTCAACAAACTAAATCAGAAAGTTACTCAGGAAAGTCAGTGTTTGAGGTTCAAGTTTGTTTGCTGAAAGAAGGGGATAGTCTGAAACACATTATGACTTTTTGTGTATTTTTGCATCAAAAACAGTCCACACACCCCTGCTGCTGACTGTCATCAACTGCACAACAGCTATGCATCTCTGACCTCACTCCCTCCAACTTCATATGCTGCATTGGTTTCATCCAATCACGCTTTGTCCTTCAAAACATCTGGGAACACTGTTAAAGTAACAGATTACACAGTTGAATATGATCTGAACCATCCTGCAGCCTGCTGGGAATTTAAATTTGGGATTTCTGAGTATTCATGGAGGGTTAACAGTATCAGATGGCAACTTTTCACCACTTTTGCCTGTTGTTACCCATTCATTACCTGTTTAAACTTCTTAGGGGCCCACTGTGCGCCTCTGTTCCTCCAGGCTGCATTTGGTAGTCCAGCCTGATTTTATGTAGTCAGCAGGTGGCATCATTAGCCAGAGAATAAAAATGAAAAGTTATACCCTTGTGTCGAGCAATGATATCATAGAAAGGCTCATTGGCATCTTGGACAGGATAGGGGGTAAGGAGGTGTAAATTTAATATGTTTTGTCATCTGTTTTACATGAAAATAATGTATATGTACAGCTACCGCAGCCAAATGGAAGGTTGGGTCTTGCCATGCAGTGAGGGAGCAAGACAAGATCAGCCCAGAAACCACACTAAGATCCCAATCTTGCCTCCACTCTTACATTTTAGGAGACTTGAGTCATGAGCAATGGCTGTTTTTCTCCTTGACATCCCCTAATTATAATGGCATCTCAATCCCTTACACCTCACTCGGTTATGTGGCTACACACGCGCAGTATTTTAATGGCAGAACTTTTTTTCTAACATGCATGTAAAAATGAAAAACGCATTTGTTGAATTATGTGTTTTGTTACGCATAAAGCAGTTACGACTGGGGGAGCAGAGAGTGGCCAAATTGAGGTTTGAACATGTCTGGGTCTCAACACTCCTGAACAGTTTGGATTGCTCCCCATGCATGCCAGACCGGCTGTGTATAAAGCTGTCACAGGAACCTTGAGGGCTAGAAAAATATTCAAGCATTTCTGGGCCTATTGGACGATGATCTCTTACACATGCTTCTTTCAATATAACCGTGATAAATAAAGGAAGGAAGCAAATACCGAAAACTTGGCTGGCTGCCAGTGCTTGCAAGAATGGCACTTTTGGCCCAAAGGGCTATTGCCCCCCACCCCAGGTAGACGCACACACACATAAACACACAAACACTTTTTCACTCAGAGCACAACTGTAAGTTAAAAACCTGTACATATTTACATGGGATTAGTTTGACAAGTGTAACATCCGGCGGTTACACTGGCTGTAACAATGTGTAGCTTATAGTACTCAGCCTAAAGCTGTTCTTAAGGTCAAATGTGTCAGTTAACCCCCTGATCTCATCTACTCCCCCCCCCCCTTTTACTCCTCTCTCTCCAACTCTCCACCTCTCCTTGACACAAGCACAACACATAAAGACACACCTTGGGACAAATGCTAACACTGGGTCTTACTGCTTGACCGTCCAAAATACCCTCCGGATTGAAGCAGTTCCAACAAGAAAAAAGATTGATCATACCAAGAAAATTGCATTCCATCCCCTACTATCTAAGATCACACAGTCCTCAAAGAAAGAAACACACAGAGGAGCTAAGAAACGTGTGTGTGCCAGTACCCTGCAGTGATTGCCTGATTATTTGCAGATGGGCAGTGGAGGGCTTGCAGAGTGTGGAGGTTCCCCCTGGCACGCAGCGCATATGATTAAATCTGTGATTGCCGTACAATTTACAAGACCCCCTCCACTCTGACTTTAAATTACTTTTTATACTGTACTGCCACACTAGGCCGACGTTTCTAGAGCTGCCTATAAGACCGTTTAAGGGTCCCTGTGCTGTGCGCGACCTGGCTGGACCAAGTCTCCTATATGGTCACCCTCAGGATCGCTGAGATGTGTTATGTCACAGGTCTGAGGAGGACTCGACGGGGGCTACTCTCCTAATCCCACTGTCTCCTCATTCATTCAGAGTATAGAGTAGTATTTACAAAGGGGCTGATCCTCTCCTCAACCCCTGCACCTCCCCTGAGCGATTGTTATGCGGGTTTCCTACCAACTGTTCAAAGTGGTTATGCGATCAATTAAAACCAGCTTAGGGGGCTGGAGTGGAGATGTGCAATTCATAAGTCAGAGGAAGGGGATTCCGTATCTATTCATTAAATAACTCCCACAATACGACCCCCTACCCTCATATAAGCCGCGAGCTCTCTATAGACGGATACGCGCCAGCAGCTTTTTAGCAGTTTCACATGTAAATAATATAGGGGAGCCCTTTGTTGGGGCCACAGCATCGTGTGGAAGTAGCGTTAACAGCCCGTCTGACAGCGTGCTTTAAACACTATTAGCCAATTCACTGACGCAACATGTTTTATTGTTAATTTTGTAAAGCCACACGCGTGGCCACATTTTGCGCACATTTTATGCATAAGCTACGGGCTTTCGAATCGTTACATAAAACTGAAAAAAAAAGTTATTACAAGATGTTCATTGGATACTTTAGAAGCTAAACGACTGATTCGTGGTTTGAATTCAAATATTCTTTCAGTAGGAATTTCTTAATTTATTCTGAATGAAAATATGTGTTGCACGAGAATTCTCAAATTTGAGCACGTAATAATCAAACTAAGATATTATTCAGACTTCCGCCTGCATTGTGCGCGTTGTAATCTATGGGACCATACAGGTAATGTATGCACAGTAATGACAAAGGTTAGAAAACGGACTTAGAATGTGCGAGAAAGCTTGTTTGGGGCTGTTGCCGTTGCCTCCCGTGACCCATACAAACTCCGTGAACATTGAAGCTTTTCTAAGACCTGTAGACTGAAACATCGTGTTACCTCTTTTGTTTCTCCTCCAGCGGTGCGAAGGCGCCTGACAGTTGCTGTACTCCATACAGTTCAATACGATCAGGGCAAAGGAGAAGAGTCGAAACTGCATCTGGACGGCGATCTGTTGTTCGGACTCCAGTAAAAAGGTGCCAGCGGGGCTCAGGATGAATGATCTGACTTTGTTATGTCCTCCTCCAGTTTCTTTAGTCGCTCTTCAAACGTGTCAAACACCCGACGAGATGCGACATGTTATCACGTCGCCGATTGGAATCATTTTATGAAGCGCGCGGATCCTCCAGTCACTAAAAGTGTCCGTTTTGGTGCGCTGCGGGAAGAATGACAAAGGAGATTACTGTGATAACTGTAATGAAATCAACACCTTACTTAACAATGATGCTTGGGAGTGATAAGAGGGGATCAAAACTAAATATGCCCAGCTCTTCTGTGTGTGTAAATGTGGTAGAACAATCAGGATGCAAAGGCTATGCGTACTGCTTAAACGCCCCTTCCAAAAACAAGCGCAACCGTGCGTAATAGTCGCCCAAACGCTCCGTGAAATAACGTGTCGGTGTATACCTTGCCTCAGATGAAGTGTAATTCCGCTCCGGTCAACTTTTTAGGTTCCGTCTGAGTGCAAGTGCGGCTCGGGAACATGCAGCATCCCTCTTTGGTTGAGGAGCTGTTGTCTCCAGAAGAGAGCAGAGGTTCTCGGAGTAGGAAAAAAAAGGATGTCGCGGTGAGTGGAGAGTTTTGGGGTTCCTTTCCTCCTCTTAGTAGAAGTTTAGATTCCGTTTACCTGCGCTTCCTCTCTCAAGCTCGTGCTGTCCGTGTCTTGTATAGCCGCAGAATCTCACATGTGTTGCTTGATATACAGCGGAAAACAAGAGCCGGTGAGTGAGTGAGTGCGTGTGAGCGTTTTGCGCGCTGCCGAGGTTGACTGACTCTGGACTGGTCCTGATGCTTGCTGCCTTTTTCCTCATATAGCACTGAGACGATGTCACGTGTGGAGGTTTCTAGTTTTGTGTTTTCTTCTTATTTAAGATGTTGAAGATGACATTCAGCGTAGTCTCCCCCCACCTCCCCACAACCCCCGCGCACTCACCCACACTGGCCGGTAGTGGCTGCCTCTGGGTCCTAGTGAGCGTAAAAAGCTGGAAACAGGAAAGGACTTTCTTTTTTTTTTGCAGAGGATATGGGACTGTAGCTTGTGTGCAACATTGATCCTACTGTTACAACTTTCAGATTATTCGTTTTATTCATCGAGTATCACAGATACATTTCCATTGTATCATCACGTATTTGACTAATTTCCCCATAATATATTTCTTCATGAGTTTGAAACTAAAGTTTGATGAGCCCCCCTCAATTGAGTCAAATTGAAATGGTAATCGCAACATAGTCAATCTTACTTTCTTGGTTAGGCTTTCTTGCACTAATGATAACTATTTAATAATTAAGAGGTTCACACAAAAAAGGAAATTATCTGCAGGATGTGCGGTGGTGTGTGTTGGGCCTGCAAGTCAACCATCTCATCACGCCTCTTATATTGCGCACCCCTTCCCCTCTACTCTGAAATGAATGATAATCGTTGTTGAGGCTGTAATTGTTGAGCATGTAGGTTATAAATCAGTCAATAAGTTCAGGGTTTTGAAGACTCGGGCCTTTCATGCTGACCCGGGCGACCTCATCAACAGAAACACATGAGATGTTCAATGGAGGCAGAGATTTTCCTTCAGTCTGAACCAACTTCCCCTTTCGGCTGCTGGCACTCATCCACGCTTACTGCACGTCAATTACAATTACAGAGCCGAGACGAAGTGTGGCAGCAGCGTTAGTATAAAAAAGAGAATATGTGGATGAATATAGAGGGCTGAAACAACACTCCACACACACTTTAAGGGCTATTTTATCCCAGTCAGCCGCTGCTCCACGTCCTGATTGAAGCACAACTTGTGAATGCTCTACCCCCTTCTGCCACTAGGTGTGGCACTTAATCTTTTATTTATTTGAGGAAATGATTTTCATGCGAAGACTGTTATTCTGCACCCGTAAAACTAATGTGAAGTCACAACACAAACCTTCCATAGCATTGTTTAAGCACGAACATAGTGATAGAATGTCTTAAATAATTAATTAATCAATCAACTTCCTCTTCTCATATTAAAAAAGACACATTTTTCATTTACATAATGGTGTTATCATTTGAAGCCCAGAGAAACCAGTAAATGAACAGGAGACATCGTTCCCTCACTCACACACAGAAGGACAAGTTTCCATTTTGTCACTGGAAGTGATAGAAAAAAATATCTGTGGGGGGAAAACCTCTACAAAAAAAAAGGAGGAATCATGGTTGTTTCCTTGCCAAAACCTATAGTGACCTTTGTCCTGACTTTGTTTATTTATTTATCCAGAGAGCAATGACAGACATTGTGGTCAGGAGGGCTGTTAGCCGCAGGCTGTGCCGCTGGTTTGGAATCCTCTCTAAAACAACATGAGAAAGTGCACGGTTAAGGTGAATGTGATAATTTAGGACTCCGGCACTTTTATTTTCATGATGTGTCATGGAGAAGAGAGCCGGTAAACCAATCACTTTATTCTCGCCATCCCTCCTCTCTCTCTCTCTCTCCTCTTCCCCTCCCTCCTTCCCTTTGCATTGCACATAAGTGAGGTGACGTCAGCATTTGGATTCTTGGCTAGGAGCCCTCAGTGCCATAACAGCAATGAAGGAATCTGCTATACCCTCTGTGGATCACAGATCCAGACTGGACACTCTTCAGCGTGGGCTGATGTCATGCTTTTGCTTAGGTAAAAAGTCAGAAAAATGTTCCAGGCCACAGTGGACAGCTAAGTCAGGATCTTCTAAATGTCAGAGAGTCAGGCCAGCTGAGAAAGTTAAAGTTAGAAACGTCCCCTGTTTGTAGCAGGAATGAGACAAATATCAATGTCCTGAAATACTCTGAAATGACATTTGGAAACAGAGCAGAATTACAGTCCACATGTACAACTACACTTTGACCATCTCCACACAGTTGGAAACTTAAGGTCAGTTGAGTAGCTGCTCTGGAGCTTGACCCTAAATATGAACTTAAATAAATGGAGATGTACATCTACAGGTCAAAGACACCCTGAAATCTCCATGTGCTGATGAACATTGTGACATGATCACAAAGTGAACAGACCTACAGGTGAGATCGCTTTTCAACTGCTTGATGACTCGTATAATCAGTTCCTATTAATGTGCAAATCAAATTGACTTCAAGGGATTTTGAAGTTTTCAAAGTTAAAACATGTAATTAAGAGCTTTTAGGTTCTCTAAAAGATATGATTGTAAAATAAAGGGTACATTTATGTTTCTCCTTAAAGGCTCTTAAAAACTATTTTCCCAGTAAGCTCCTCCTAAAAGCCAGATGGACACAAGCAGGTCTGCCAAATTTGATCTTTTTTTTTTTCTAAATGTGTAATTGCATTGGATGTTTTTGTTTCCGAACTTGAACGTTTGATTGTTTCTTACTTTCATGTTGGATTAAAAAAAAAAAAGTCAACACCTAGGTTTGATTTCATCATTTTTTTTTAAACAAACACATGGGGTTTTCTTCCTGAAAAACACATTTGGTGAGGTCAACCATTCAGACACGTTGCTGTAACCAGCTTGAAGGGCTGCGGTTGGCAGCGGGGACTGACTTATTGTAGGCTCAAACGAAACAAATGGAAACAAAAACAGAGCAGTGCTGAAAGATGGGACCTTCATGCTCTCCATCTGTGGGTCCTGAGTAGGTGCATAAATTACACCTGCATGGGGAACTGTAATGACGGACATACGGCAGCAGTACAGGGCAGCTTCTTTCCCCTCCTAAAATACGTTTATAGCTTCATATATTTCCATGGTCACGATGCAATGAATGATTTTGTAGTTGGTTGGTTCAGTTCAGTTGACAACATAAAGAGAGAAGGTCCATATTGTATATGGACTGTATATTCTTTAAGATAAAAGTGTTTAAGAGTCTGTTAGTCAGTGAGACCCTCTTTGCACTTTCCAGACTTCTGAATTGGCAGAATAAAAAAAAGTGTATTTTAATGTAAAAACATGGGTAGCAAAATGCCATAAGAAATATTACTTGTGAAGGAATGAAGGTCTGAAAGTAAGCAGGTGGGCAGGAGAGAGGCAGACGACTGAGTTATGAAAAGCAGAGAGAAGCGGGGGTAGGGTGGAACATTTAAAAGATTGTGTCCGTCTGGCTAATGGTTCTTTATGGCTCCCTCATGTCCTCGGATGGGAAGGATGACTGGCAGAGTGTGTGACCACTGGTAACTGTACATCACCTTTGTTCGCCCCCTCCGGCTGACGTCCCACTCAGCGAGACGTCTGCCACGGTGAAGCGAACCACTAAAACACCATAAAACCGACAGACTAAACAGCCATTCATCATTACAGCGCACACATGAGCCGCATCACACGCAGGAGTCTTAACTGTCCCACTCGGTGACTCAATGTGCACATTAAAACTTCATCAAGTATTACTGATAGAAAAAAAAGGCTGACCACTGAAACCTCAACCACTGTTTGTAATGTCCAGAAATAAGGCAATCATGGGTGAGAATGGTTTTGTTGGTCACTTTTATTGAACTGGTGATGACTTGAACCAAGTGCAAAAGCAGCACTGTGCTCCGAGTCAAGTGTGGAAAAAAACAAGTCATACAATGAGTAAGACGGGTCCATCTTCGTTGTGTCACTAAAATCCAGCTTCCTGACCTGCCCAGTTTGGTGTCTGGAAGAAAAGCATGAAGGAAATGTTGGATTAAGACCATGCAAGATCACGTCAACTGATGAAAAGTACATTTTGTTGTTGAGGTACATGTGCGAGCAGTTAAGTGCTGTTGTTTTCCTCGTAGCAGTGTGTAATGCGTGTGTTCTGTTGGTAAGCTCTGGGTGGCTGTGAGAGTTGACAGGGACTCCAAGCAGTCAGCCCAGATGGCAGGCAGTAAATGTTCTCGATATGCAAGTGATTTGTAGCCTTGAGGACAGCAGGATGTAATGGTGCTCTGTGAGTTGTTTGCAGCCTCTGTTGTCTAATTACAAAAACTCCTTAATGGGGGGGGGGTTGCTTTTTTTTTTTTTTTACAGGGCAGGGTTATGGCTGCACTCCTGCTGCAGATATTCAAACAATCAGGAGGAGGGTAATTGAGCACATCAAAAGATAGCCTCTTAAGAGCTGCACAGTTAAAAAAGTGAACATTAACATGTCTGTTGTAACTTTGTGGCCTTGGTGCTGTCAGGTGTCCGCTGAGGGATCCGAGCCATCAATCTACTATGACACACATGCGTGTCTCTGCGGAGTGTGTGCGGCTCACGGCTCACGGCTCACGGCTCACAGCTCCAGTTCAGAGGATGTGCGTGATTATGAAGGCTTGAAGGGTCTACATACCACTAAAATGCACAAGGTCAACATCAAAAACACACTTAAATGGGATGACTGGACCCTGAGCCAGACATCTGCAACAGGTCCTAAGTGCAGGGAACTCCAGGCTTTGAGTAATGTTCACCCAAAGCCAGTGTGAGGGTCCACTTTATTTACGCTGCTGAGCTGAGTCACAGAGCTCAGGCATCGTTTTATGGTTGTTTGGAATCTACCTTGTCATTAGGCCTTTGAAGAGCAATGGAGGGATGAAAGCGTTAGCTCTGTTAAACTTGCTCTTACTGGCTTATTTCGTGTAAAGAGAGCTTTTGTTGATGGCTGTTCATCAACATTCTTTCCCCTTGTTGTTCATGGCTGATCATTTGAGAAGCTTTGAACTGCCCTGTGTTTGTGTTGACCTTCTAGCAATCCGATGGTGTAAGGGAGGGTTCCACCAGTGCACAGTGTGGGTGCTGGTTTGTGTGCGTTCTGTATGTACAGTATGTGCATTTCTCACCTCAGCCTTGTTGCTGTGGGCCTGCTTTTTCTCAATATTCATGGCCAACATTTGGCTGCGGAACGAAAGGCTCTTGGTCTTCTCAATCACCTGCTGGTAAGGTGA